GGATTTTCTTCTTCTCTTTTGAGACAGGCTCTCATGTAGCTCACACGAACCTCACCTTCTCTATATATCTGAGACTGATTTGAACTCCTGATAACTCTGCCTCCGCTTTCAGAGTTGCCATACTACCGGCGTCAACATCCTGCCCTTTTTGCACAATCCCGGGGACTGAACCAGGGTTTCATGCATGGTAAGCAAGCACCATACCAAGGGAGCCACATCCCCACATCTTGTGCTTTTGAGACAGGGTCTCGTGTAGCTTAGGTTAACCTCAAGCTCTTGATTTTTCTACCTCTTCTCCCAAAAGCTAAAACTATAGGCCGGGGCCACTAATGACTTTTCAGAGGGGGCTAATTTGCCTTCTGTGGTTGGGTGAGTGATCCTCCATGGGCTCGAGTGTTTGAACACTCGGTCTCCAGCTGGTGGCGCTGTCTAGGGAGGTTTAGACGGGGTGGCCTCGATGGAGGAAGTGTGTCGTGGAGGTGGGCTTTGAGAGTGTAGCGCCTCACCCTGTTTTCACTGTGTGCTCTCTCTTTCCCGTTTGAGGTAAGAGCTGTGGTCTCTTGGCTTCCTGCTCCTGTCCTCATGCCTGCTCCTGGCGGCCAAGCTTCCCGCCATGATAGACTCTCGTCTCTCGGGAACCATCAGTCGAATCAACTCTCTCTTTCTAGGTCGCCTTCGGTCATGTTGTTTCATCCCAGCGACAGAAAAGTGACTGATACAGCCGCCCGTGTGTGAGAGTGAGCGCTCCAATCGCTCCTTCCACGTGCTTATCATTGCTTAGTAGCTTTAGTCTCCCAAGTATCACTCATTCCGGTGATCATATAACGATCTCTCTCTATGGCTATTTTTTTTTCCCTCTGTGATTTGAATTTGGAACCTCTGGGTCTGATTTTCCAATATCGCTGAGAACACTTCAATGTATCTGTGAGTCATTCCCTTGTCTGATGTATACGTTTGTTCCTTCGTCTCATGTTTATGTTCAGTTGTTTTTCTTGCAACTTAATTTATAGGAGTTTGTTAGATGTGCTGTGCAGAGGTACTTTTTTATTTGTTTTGTTTTTTAAGATTTATTTGTTATTATGTAGACAGTGTTCTGTCTGCATGTATGCCTGCAGGCCCAAAGAGGGGGGCCAGAAAACTTATTATGGATGGTTACGAGCCACTTTGTGGGTGCTGGGAATCGAACTCGGGACCTCAGGAAGAGTAGCCAGTGCTCCTAACCACTGAGCCATCTCTCCAGCCCCCAGAAGTCCTTCGTTAACTGTATTTTTTTTGTTTGTTTGTTTGTTTTTTCGATTTGATGAGTCGATATGCCTAACTTTATTTAATTCAAGGGCCGGCAAACACCCTCTGAAAAGGGCTGACAAGGGAATAGTTCAGGCTTCGGGAGCCATGCAGCCTCGGACACCCTGCCCAGTTCAGCCAGACTGGAATATGTAAATGAGTGGGTGTGGCTGCATCCCAATAGAACCATCCCTAAGAACAGGATACCGCCTAAGGCTTAGGTCCACCAGGGCACAGCCTGAGTGTCAGCTATTCCCTGCACATCCGTGCCTCCCGTGACCTGCTTCTGTCCTTTGTTACCCTAAGTTAAGGGGGGGGGGGGAGGAGATATTTGTATCTGCTAGAATCTCTGCTGTTTCAACTTTTACATTTAGATTTAAAATCTGAGTGGAATGTTCGGGTTTTTGGTTTTTGTTTGTTTGTGTTTGTGTGTGTGTGTGTGTGTGTGTATGTTTGTCTCTTTGTGTGTGTCTGTTTGTGTGTATGTTTCTATGTGTGTGTGTCTCTGTGTGTGTTAAGGAACATTCCTTTTTTCTTTTTTTTATACACATAGATGTCCAGTTGATCTAGAAATATTCATTATAAGACTGTTCAGGGGAACTGGGGCTCCCCCACACAACCATGAAGATCTGAGTTCCGTTCTCAGGACTACATACAAACATGGTCACGGGGCATGAGCTCGGACTCCCACTGCTGGGGAGGTGGAGACAGGAAGCTCCTCCGGGGTTTGCTAGTCCGTCCAGCTCTATGGTGAGCTCCAGGTCGAGGGAAGATTCTGTGTCAAAGGAGGCAGACAGTGTTCCTGAGGATGACACCCAAGGCTGTCTTCTGGCCTGCACACACGTGACATATATGTGTGCCCTCCCCCATACATACTAAAATAAAAAGGAAGACTGCTGTGGTTAGGAGAACAGCTCTGTGATAGAAGGACTGCCTGGTACGCAGGAGGCGCTGGACTCCACCAATTAAGTATTCACACCTGGGAGACCAAGGAAAGCGTGCAAGTTCCAGGTTAACCTGAACTACATAGCAAGATCCTGCCTTTAAAAAAAAGTCAGCCGGGCGGTGGTGGCGCATGCCTTTAATCCCAGCACTCGGGAGGCAGAGCCAGGTGGATCTCTGTGAGTTCGAGGCCAGCCTGGGTTACCAAGTGAGTTCCAGGAAAGGCGCAA